ACTGGAAACATGGAGGCTGCTTGGAAAGATGGTTTAATAGTGGACAGGATCACATGGCTTGAGCTCCTGAATAGAAAAAGGACTGAGAACCTGAGAGTCCCTGGGTTTTATGCCCTCACTGGGGGCCAACCCAGAGCTTCCCGTTCCTGTGTAAGAAATGCATTCTGGTTGTTTGTCAGACTCCCAGGAGGAGGGGGCGTCTTAGCTATCTCTGTAGGCTGTCCTGAGACCCAAGCTTGTATGCCTTGCTGGCTGATGTAATTTCCCCAGGTGTCTTGTGGTGAGTTTCTGTTTGCTAGATGGAGGGGGGAGATCTTTGTTATGTAGAATAGACTGTATCAGACCTTAATAGACCATTGACAAAAGGAAGGGGGCACTGAGTTTCTGCCTCCCTTTCAGAGGAAATATTGTGCCCTTTAATATTTTCTAAAACGTTTCATTTTCTAGGAGGGAGGTGGGTTTTAACTTCCAGCAAAACATTGCGTTTTCCAGGAAGGTGGGGTGTTTATTCACACAAACAAAGGAGACTGTAAACTTAAAAAGTCCTCCATATGAGAAAGTAAAGGGGTGAATTTCTTTTCCTGTTGTTGTTTTAAGGGGGGGAAACACACACTTAGAATACCTCTAAGTTTCAAGTCAGAGAAATGCGTATATGTTACGGGAGCTTTGTTTGCAAATAGTGTTATTACTTGCAATAACTTAATAAATTCCGTCCCCCCCCCCACAAACCCTGTGGACTTTTCCATAGCTCAAATAAATGATGTTTTATCTTTAATTAAACACCTTGAAGAAATTGCACCAATATTATTCTCCGCTATGCAAGCTCCCCTTCGCCAACCTCCCCATTCCAATTTCTCCCCTACCCTCTCCCACCCCCCAAATTAACAGATCCTATTACAGCAGCCGGGATTCATTTAGTAATTATTCTGAAGCTGCTCTTTAGAAAGCCTCCAGTGAAATAGAGTGATCCTTCAGTAGAAAAGATAATTAAAAGCAATAATTCAGTTTGTTAGAGGATATAAAAATTAGAACCGTACATCACTGTCTCTATTATTTTTTTTAAAGTAATGGTAGTGCAACAGATTGTTTATCACACTATCGCCCTGTTTAAAAATTAAAATAAGCAAACGTTACCTTTTTCTCTTAAAAGACAAAGAAATAAAGTGCTTAACAGGCACTACACAAATCTTGCCGAGAGTGATCTACGAGATCTATATTACAGTTGTGTAAAAGTATTTAAAAGAAGTTGGGCCTCTTTTTTTGTTTCCTCCAGGCTTCTTATTTCAAATCTAAAATAAAACTGTGGCTGCTTTAAGGATTTGCTTGACCGACATTAACACAAATGTTAAAACAGCCAGGCTGGCAAAAAAAAAGGAGCCGCTTTAATAGGGGGATTCCCATCATGACTTACTTGTGCACACATCCTGCACTCCTACAAATGACCACCAAGTGGCAGCAAAGACATACACAGAACTCTAATCCTGTACTCCCATCTGGTGGTCATCTGGATATTTGCAATCAATCCAATCTGTCAATTCTGCCACAAACACTTTGTAATGCAGGGGTGTCAAATTCAAGGCCTGCGGGCCGTATTCAGCCTGCTGGGTGCTTAGATCTGCCCCGCGGGGCCACCTTGGAAACAGCGAAAGACCAGCCCATAGTGCCTCTGCCAGTGAAAATGGAGTTCAGTAGGGCCGCGAACAGCCCTCCCGAGCTCTGTTTTCAGCTGCACCGGCCTCCTGCAACCCCCTGCCAGCAAAAAATGGAGCTCAGGAGGCCATGCACAGCCCTCCCAAGCTCTGTTTTCAGCTGCAACGGCCTCCTGCAACCCCCTGCCAGCAAAAAATGGAGCTCAGGAGGCCATGCACAGCCCTCCCAAGCTCTGTTTTTTTCTGGCAGACCAATTGGCCACCACAAGCGCCCCCGAC